GTGTGCGTGTGTGCGTGTGTGCGTGTGTGCGTGTGTGCGTTGTGTGCGTGTGCGTGTGCGTGTGCGCGTGCGCGTGCGCGTGCGCGTGCGCGTGCGCGTGCGCGTGCGCGTGCGCGTGCGCGTGCGCGTGCGCGTGCGCTTGCGTGTGCGTGTGCGTGTGCGTGTGCGTGTGCGTGTGCGTGTGCGTGTGCGTGTGCGTGTGCGTGTGCGTGTGCGTGTGCGTGTGCGCGTGCGTGTGCGTGTGCGTGTGCGTGTGCGTGTGCGTGTGCGTGTGCGTGTGCGTGTGCGTGTGCGTGTGCGTGTGCGTGTGCGGGTGCGTGTGCGTGTGCGTGTTCGTGTGCGTGTGCGTGTGCGTGTGCGTGTGCGTGTGCGTGTGCGTGTGCGTGTGCGTGTGCGTGTGCGTGTGCGTGTGCGTGTGCGTGTGCGTGTGTGGTGTGTGTGTGTGAGTGTGTGTGTGTGTGTGTCCCACGGCCCCTTCAGTCAGGACGGGGCTGGATTTGGGAGGGAGGGACGGATCGGAGGGAGGGAGGGAGGGGGACGGGATCGGAGGGAGGGAGGGAGGTCGACGACACTCAAGAAGGATCTGGCTCTCCCATCAAAAAGCGATGGCAGGCGGTCGCGCACTCGCACGAGGGAGGCCCCGCCTCTACCCCCTGCTCCCGCTGCTGCTGCTGCGGCCTTCCATTGCGCTACACCGCTGGCGGGCTGCCCTCTGGAGGCACTTTATGGATCCAGGGGGGCCCGAAACAATGCGCTTCCACTTGTCAATCCGTGGACGCTGTCCCTTCAGCATCCGGCTCCAGCGGTGCTGCTGGATATCCGTCGAGAAATTTCACGAGGCCAGGGCGAGGATAAACCCGTTCCTGAGCGTTCCCGAACGTTCGGAGAGCGCTCCAGAAGGCGATGAGAAGGCCGCAGCGCCCGAGACATCTTCCAAAGCCGCCAGATCTGGGAGTTGTCTCGATGTATCCTCACCCGATGTTACCCTCGTCCTGGCTTCATCTTAGAGGAGGGTCAGCGGCGTCCCGCGTGGGGTGGTGGTTAGGGGGGGACATCATGAGCAGGGCCATGAGATCGTCCCAGATTTCATGGCCCCCAGCTTCTTTGAATATGTTGCCCTGGACCCCCGCTCGACCGCGCACATGCCTTGGGCCACGATTTGCGACGCCCCCTCTCGGATGCCCCCCTCTTTTACACACGCCCCCGAATGCGTGTGCAATGCAGATGAGTGCTTGTGTGAAGCGGCAGCGTGGGCAGCACATGGACGAGACGTCAGTTGTTGACGATAGCGAGATGGAAAGGGAAGGATACAGCGATGGAGAAGATTCCGCATATCGTTGGCAGGATCATCGGGCACGACCTTCGTACAGGCGGGCAGGGAGATCACGATCGTGAGAGCTCTACATGTGCAAGGGCGTTGAGGTATAAATACATATGACCATGAGGGACATTATGTTCGGTTATAACAGTCTGCCCATGTAGATGGTTGCCACTCCAAGTTGCGAGGTGCGAGGCGACAGCATCACCACCATCACCACTCACCACAAGCCCCTCTCCTGCACTCCTCATCTTATCCATCCTCCCACCTCTCCCTTCCGAAATGCTCCTCTCCGTTCCCTTCCCCTTCCTCTCGCACGCCCCCTTCTCTCTACGCCCCCCCTCACTCCACTGTCCTCGCGCTCACCTTCCTACCCATCCCTCCTTACTTCCACCCCTCTTCTGCGCTCCCCCATCCCCTCCACCACCCTCCCTTCCCCTGCCCGTCCTTCCCTCGCTGTTCGCCCCCACTGTCTCCCTGCCCGTCTTCGTCGTCCTCCCCCGCCCGTCCCTCCCCTGCCCGTCCTCGTCGTCCACTCGTCCCCTGCCCGTCCCTTCCCTCGTCGTTCGCTCCCCATGGCTTTCTTCCAGGCAGGTGGTGCGGCATGCCGGCCCGTTGCAGGCGGTTGCAGGCTTGAGCCACCGCCATCTCATGGCGCCAACATCGCAGAGCGGATTTCGTTCGGGAAGCGATAGGGCGGGCCCGGAGTGTCCTGGAGAGTGTCGTTCCAGATTTCGAGGTGAGCTTCGTGCGGATTTGTGTTGGTGGCAAGGAATGAAGACCAAATTGAATCCACGCGAAATTATCTTCGTTTTTTCGCTCGCCGTTTCGGGCAAAATCCATGCAGAAATCCGCAAAGAAATCCGCTGCAGCACATCTGCAAGGCCAGTGCAATGAGCCATCACATACTGCAGGATACACCCTCCCTCAAAGAAGAAAAAACGCCATGAACATAAACTTTTGGCCCTCCGCGCGGGTTTCTTGGATCGGCGTTTGGACCCCCCTGGCGGTACCTCCGGCGCCGCCCCTGGCGCGCTCCGCGCGCCGGGTAGACCCCCCTGGCGGTACCTCCAGCGCCGCCCCTGGCGCGCTCGGCGCGCCGGGTAGGGGGGTCCAGAGCAGGTCCAAGAAATCCGCGCGGAGCGCCAAAAGTTTATGTTTATGGCGTTTGTCTAACATCTTTCGGGGGAACGCAAGACCCGGGTTTGCCAGGACTCGGGTTCGCCATCGTTTTTTGACGACCGCGCCTCGGATTTTGACGAGGAGGAGTTTCGTGGGATGTCTGCAGCGGGAGGCCTCGTCAAAATGCAGGCTCGGCCTCGTCACTTTTTTGACGACCTCGTCGGGGATTTCCGAGTCCCCTGTACCCAGGTCTTACGTCCCCCTGATTCTAACGTCTAATCTAACATCGTGCACCCATCGATCCATCCTCGGGACGCT